GGCTCGCACTCCCTCACCTCCTTGGGCCTGTCGGCGCGGTCCCTTCCGCACCTCGGGGGGAACCGGAGACCAGCGATAACCTTCCCGAGGCCGACTTGAAGCCTGGTTTTGCCCCCCTTGCCCCCGGTATCGCTGGCTGCGAGGCACCGGGCCGCCCCGTCTCGCTAGGGACCGCCCTCCGTGGGGTGGGGGAGTGAAGGTGCGTACCCCGGGGTCGAGGGGCTTCCCCCGCCTGAGGGTCTTCATCGCCGGGGGGGTCGCACTGCCCCTTCCGACAGCAGAGCCGTGCGGTCGTGGTCTCCCCCACCCAGCAGCTGCATAGCTTGCTTGTGAGTGGTAGGGAGAGGAGACCACCATTGTGGGAAAACATACTTTGTCTTTTATGAGCAGCTAAAGTCGTCCCTCTCCTGCCAATCATCTAACCCACTCTCTCTCAGCTGGGGAACACTTTATCTCATTTTCATCAACAGTAATAGAAACAAAGAAGATCCCCTGTTTCTTCAGCTCTTTTTTTCTGGGTTTTTTTTTTCCTCCTCCCCCTCACGGCTCTGAGCTGTAAAGAAGAAACGCCCACGTATGTTCTTCCTCACTTATATGGATCTGAAGACTTTATATCTCCAGCTCAATTTCATGACCTGGGATGGATATTTATGTACAAATCATCACAATACGGATTTTATTTGAAGATGCAACAAAATGCAGGACGTTGAGCACCGAGACTTTAAAAAAAAAAATTACACCTCAAAGCATTTGCAGCAGGGGTGTGTGGGGGATATTGAAGTTCTGTGCCCCTTAAACCTCAGTAGCAAGGCTGTGCTTGGTGGACGCTCTGCTCTGACTCCTTGTTCCCTCTCACTGTAGGAAGTTGCTGTAAAGTTGGAGTCTCAGAAGGCTAGACATCCCCAGCTGCTGTATGAAAGCAAACTATACAAGATTCTGCAGGGAGGAGTTGGCATCCCACATATACGGTAGGAATCGTTCATGTATGCCAGTACAATGACTTTTCTTTGATGTTACTGTGAGGCGGGACACCACCATTAAAAAGAGATTCATCTGGGAGGGATTGGGCTGTTGGGGGAAAAATGCTCCATTCCAAGCTCTACAACTAGTTGGGTATCCTCCCCACCGGCCTGCTGTCTTTTCTTATCCGTACGTACTGTGCTTTGAAAGTGAGATCTTCAGCAGTTCCTGAGCTGTAAGAAATTCTTGTTGTGATTAGAACAAAGTGTGAGATTGTTTCGGTGAGAGCTAATGTTCTTGATGAGGTGGAGAGTTTGGAGCTGGTAATGGAAATGGCTGCTTTCTTTTGTTGCTTTCTTTCTTTTTTTTTTTTTTGTTCCAACATGTCTTCCTCCTCCGCTCAGAAAATGGCGGATGGACGTGATTAACCCTCCCCCTTCTCGTGTTGGGACAAGGGACGTGCTCAGGCATGTATCTTTTCCTTTCATAGTTATGTGCTGCAAGGCTTGAGACTGCAGAGAACCTCAACCAGGAATGAAATGGCAGCCCCTTTCTGTTACCCGCAACAGATGCGTCACTAGGATTTCCGTACAGTTAAAGTGCCAAGATTAATCCCTCCCGATTCCTAGTTATGCGGCTTCCTTGTTTCATATTCTGTCTGAAACTTTCAATCGTGTTTACCAATTTCCTGATCTGGAAGAAAATCACTGGTGCAGCAGGCTCTAGGAGGAGTTATTTCTCTCGAGATTATTGAGGTATAGTGGGTTAGTTCCCAAGTACTCAATCTATGCATCAGAATAGATTAAATGAAACTTCAGTTTTCTCCAGAAAGACTTTGTACAAGAAGCTGTTCTTTTTTTAAACTTTGTTAATAATTGTTTTTAAAGTTAGTATTTCTTATGTTTGCCCTATGGCATAAAGGAATTTTGTTGCTTGAGCTGCAGAAGCGATTTCAGTTTAGATATTGGGTCAAACTGTGGATTCCATTTAATCTGTTAACCCTTCCCTGACTTTGTTGTATGTGCACCTATATCAATAGTGGTCTGTAAAGTCATAATGATGACATGTTGTATATCATGTATTAATTCTAACAAAACCTAAAACAAGTCTGCATTTCTGAGGTTAATAGCTCCTCTCCTCCCCCTCCCCCCCAAACACAACTGGCTGTAGTCCTGAATGTAAGCTGGAGCTATATAGTGGAGGAGACAGTGTTGTCTTGGCCATCTGTCCTCATTCACTATAGCCTTTTGCAGGAATAAGCAGAATACTTGCAGCTTAAACAGAGTTGCTCATGTGAAAACAGATTTAGTCTTTATTTTAGACTACAATTTACTTCTCGTCTTCAAATCGGTGCCTTTATTTCGCAACTGAAAGAATAGAAATTGCATTTTGGAAAGCTATCGCAATATAGTTATGTGCTAAACCAGGGATAACTGGGAAAACAGCCAAAGCAAGCAGGTATCAGGTGTTGCATCGCAAAACTGGAAAAAAGGAGGCATTCTTAAACTATTTTTTTGAAAAAGTAAACAAATATTTGTTGCTACAACGAGGCCTAAGTTGCAATTTTTTCAACTTTTCCATGTAACAGAAGTGAGCTGCTGTTTAAGTTCTTGGATTTGGTTAAAATGACCTGTGAGAGCATTTTATTTAAAGCTGAAATACTGGAAGTAATCTTGCATATTGAGAAACTTGCTTCTAGCTTCAATTACAGCAGTCATCTTTAAGTTTTCTTTCTGCTGTATTTGATGTTCTTGTATCTGACTTTGCTTTCTGTATAACCAGTGACTGGTTTAGAAGTCTCACCACCACAGGGGAACTACAACCTTTCTTTAACACACACTTCCTCCCTCTTCCTCCCCACCCCCCCAATAATACAAGGTTACAAGAATCTGAGTAAGAATGGGCAACTGAGGCAACGCTCAACTTAAATTGGTTCATAGACTCATTGTGCTAAAGGTGTGTGATCTATTTGGTAATGTCAGTGAGTCTTAAATTAAGTTTTTCACTTTCAGGTTCTCGCAGTGTTAATCTTTGTAGTATTTTTCTAGAAAAGCGTCTTTCAGAAAATTTTTCGAAATACCTTTTTTGTCTTCAGAAGCAGCATTAATTTCAAATCTATTTGTACGTACCAGATGCTGCTTGACAGGCTCTTTGACTAGACTTCTGTTACTTGTTGTCTTCTTGCTGTATGACATCTGGTGATGCTTGAAAAAATCTAAAGTAGTATTTGTATGTTTATCTTCTTTAAGACGAAGCTGAGCAGGGTACCCAGCACAGTTCTTGTGACAAATGTTTAAAATGTGATGTGTTTAGTAGAGGTAGAATCCATGGTACTCTGAATCTAAGGGGGAGGACTTGGCCTACCAAATGAGATGTATCACTGAGGTGCTTAACAAGGATATGTTTTTGAATAGGTGATTACAAAGAGTAAGACCAAAGTGAAATTACTGTGCATGTTTGTATCAGACAATTCAAGCTTTTCTGACATGGCATTTTTGGCAGCAGCTAAGCTGGGAGAATGTATGACTTTGTACTTAGGTCACTTTGCATGTGTGGTTGGTAATACACGTTCTGCCATTGTTTTATAATGGTATGCTGTCAACTCAGAATAAGCTGTTCTTGGCTCAGTATATTTAGAAGGATGAATCAAGTTGAAGGAAAATCTTTCAATACATTTGTTAAAATTTCTGTAATGTGACACCTTTAAACAACAACAGCACAAACAGAGCATTTGATAGAAAATTAAGGAATCATTGTAAGCTTTTCCCATTGCTATGCTGCATAAACTGGGCTTAGCAGCATTTTTATCTCAGTGCTACACATCTGGGAAACAGAGGCACATAATCTTCCATTCCTCATTTAAGAATGAGGGACTTGCTCTCTATTTTTCATCTACTTAAGTTGATCTTGGCCACTGTATTACTTACTAGAAGTTGCATTATGTGGCTTTGCCTTACCAAGGTGGTCTGCTGTGGTTTTTTGACTCACAAAGCTGAAATAATAGGTGAGGTATGGATTGCTCATTTATTTTGGGCACCTTAAAACTGAATTCTGCCCTTTAGATGTGATTGCAAACTTAGTAATGATAAGATAGCATGTCTGGAGTGTCACTTAAATTATCTAGAACCAAGCAATTTTTTTTTATAGCCTTTAAGGTTGATTTGGTGGCTTTTCTGGCTGATCACAAGAAAGCTAATGAGCAAAACCTCAGTTTTGGAGTTAAAAGTTTTTTAATATTGCTTCTGTGGGATCAACTGTGAGCCTTCACTTGTGGAGGGTGAACAAGGGGCCTTGGTACTCCCACTGTAACAGAATACGCTTGCACATAAAATAGCAAAAATTGAGGTTGGAATGTCTTTATTTTCTTAATATTTTAAACCCTTTTAGACTTGCAAATATTTGACTTCGCTGCTTATTGCTGTTTCCTGGAAGAGTAGCAAAGTTTCTGAACTTGTCTCCAGAGTTTCACAAAAACCTACATAAATGCTTGACACACAAAACCTTGTATAAATGCTCTACAGATTTTTAAGATGTGGTTTGTACTTGATGTACAAATTTTGGTTAATTATTACCTTCATTTTTCACAAAAGGCTCTTGAACCAAGCTTAACATTCTAACAATCTGATCTGCCTTTAGGACACAATGCAAAGTCTGCAGTATTCTGCTGGGCTTATTCTCATTATTCTCAGCCATCAGCTGTCTTTTTCTTTTTTCTTCTCTTTTTCAGTGGCAAAGCATTTTTAGCTGTAATCTTGTTAACTGGGCACTGATCCTATTAGTTTGGACTATCTACCTTTTATTCCCGAGTTCTTGGTTCTGGCTTGGAGGAATGCAGCAGAGTGTTTTTGGTGATTCTGTATGTGGTTTTGTTCATAGTGTAATGCTGTTAAAGCACTCTTGACAAAAGCAATTGTTCGAATTATCTGTGACAGGCACTCCTGATTTTTGCCATTTATGGTGTTTATCAACTATTGTTCGTATCCTTTACGAAGATTACCTTTGGGTACTCTTTCAGACATACTTTGAAAGAAAAGTGGGCTTCAAATTTTTCTCCTGAGAATATCATGGGATAACTTGTTTTCATTATCAGCTTCAAATGGAAAACAGCTATGCTGGAACCAGCTGTGGCTATTGGTGATGCATTAGAAGCATTGCACTTAAGAGCAGGAAGAGGGCCTAGTGAATGTGAAACAGATACTGCATGTACTCTTCAACAAGGCTGAAGAGATATACTGTACAGCCTGTGAGGCTAATCAAGGTGATATTTAAGTTTAGTCATTTGTAATTTTAAAAACCAAAAGCTACTGACTTAATGCTTTTTTTTTTGCAACATTCTCTTGCAAACTGAACAACCAAATCCTTACATTTCTGAACTTTTCAATGCAGTAAGTTCTTGCAAAATATTTTGATGTTGAGAAATTCAGTACTGCCACCCATGTATTGCTACGTGATCTTCTAAATAGTGAAGCATATTGTAAAGTTTCTGGTAAAAAAAAAAAAAATCCATAAAAGCATCTACAATTTTTGTTCTTCTGGTTGCTTACTGCCATGTTGTTGGATAATCTATTAATAACAGATTCTGCCCAAATTCGTGTTCACTAAGTAATACATGTAATGGAAAAATGTGGTGAAGTTTGGTAATCTTGGGGTTGTTCTCACAATGGATTTTTCCTTGGAACACTTCAAATTTTGATCTCTTTAAGCAGTGCTTAAAAATCTGTAAATACACCTCTCAAACACCTTCATTTTAAACTGTTTTCCCAGTAACTTCCTACAGCATTAAAAAAACCCCAAACAAACCACCCCCCCCCAAAACAAAACCACCACCAGAAAAATACCCACCAAACCCACAAACAAAAAACCCCCCCAACGCTTCCCCCCAACAACAACAAACCAAACCCAAAACTAGTAGTCAGATAAAGTCTGAAAAGTTTTCTATCTTCTTTTCATTGGTAAGACTGATACTTTCATCTAGGTCTGCAAGTAATGAGGAGGAAGGTTCTAGCAA